GAAGAGAAGAAGATATTCTATTATTGATAACAGAGATAATTTGATGAATGGAAGGCCAGAGAGGAGAAGCAAAAAGGATCTATTTTCTAAAAGAATGCAAAGAAAAACCACAATTTTTCCAAGTCCTTTGTGACATAAAATGTTGCAATTTAAAACCATTATATCATGAATTGATAATTGTCATCATTATATCAAGCACATTTTTTATTATAACTGCCAAAAAAGAACATCTCTTAGGCCAACCTTATCTTATCAGAGATTATTGTACAGCTCCCCCTTTCCCTAATGCTACCCACTAGTTATTTGACATAAGATACCTAAAAAGACTCTTCAGTGGAGATTACAGTCAACCCTCCAAAGCCTTATTCCCAAGCTTGGGAGTTAGCACACCCTCTATATTCTGCATTGCACAGTTTTGTTCACTTCCCACTATTACTATATGAAATCCACCCTCTCTATATGCATGCCTGTGATTTTCATGTCAAAATTGCCAATAATAAATTCGCAAATACAACCATATGGCGAAGGTCTTACAGTCACTACAACCATGAACTTACATAAATGATGCTACATATCCAGTAAATAAATAGTAAGTGCGGCGTATATATCACACCTCACCAAAAATATAATAATAAAAAATTAAAGAAAACTAATTAAATACAATCTGTTTATCGTACACATCTAAAAGATTAAGTCTCTCCTATGCAAAACTTTTTTTCAAGAAATCCAACATATCCGACATAATACATATATATATGAGTAAATGTTATATGACTCCTTCAATCATAGCACTCCTTCAACCATAGCACTCCGGAACTGGAAGAACTTGGTAATCATATCTTCCAAATCATTAGTCTTGTGTGCCTCCAATGCTCGTAAATCTGAGTATTCCGGATCCGAGATAACTATATTCTGCACTCCTCCTATTTGCCCGTCACTTTTCTTCGTAAGGTCGCGTCCATACAATGTGTTATCGACCAAAACTTCAAAAGGGCCGAAAACTGCTTTCTTGGCACTCCGACGTAAAGCCTTTTTCGATGGGTCTAAAACGCCGCCGAGAAAGTAATTCGCATCTTGAAAATCAAAGCAAAGCAACGTTTGAATGAATAACTTAAAATCTCTTCTGCTAAAAATAACGCCAAGTTTGTACATGGAACTGTACATACCTTTCTTCCACTGTTTGTAGTGATTCTGAATCATTTTGCGAAGCTGCGATTTCGCTCCCATTTTAAATGATTTGATTTTCTTTTGGCGCTCTGGGTCCAATTGTTTAAACGGAACACGCGAACGAGAAGCTGATGTACCACTACTAGAAAAACTGGATGAAGACGTTCTTGTTGCACTGGTCATGGCAGATGCGAACGAAAGACCAGATGTAACAGACTTTGGCGACGAAGAATGAAATGATAATCCATTGAATTGATTTGTAACCGGAGTCGACGTATCGTCATGGTACGAGTCGACTTTAATAACAATCCCTATACTCTGCTGGTTGCCATCATTGGTATTTGGTGCAAAATATTCCTCATTTGCTATCAGTTGTTGATTTCCAATCGCTGTTCCTTGCTGTTGACGCAAGGATTCCAACGCGGCCGAAGATCTCGGATCAGCAAAGTTGACGATTGTAGCATCTCCTATACGGTGAAGGAGATCCATAGATTGCTGTTGTATCTTTACGGTCCTCCTGTTGGGCAAAATTGATTGATGAATTCCCGCTCGGAGACACTTGATAAAGGCGTAAAGTTGAGCCAGCACATCTACAACAGACATAAGAACATTAATCAATGGTTGACATTACATTTCCGTAATATAATCGCTTTGAGACCTACCCATTATCCATTCACCAAGAGGCGTTTCTTGTTTGATAGGGAACATGTAAAATATTGTTTCCTCTTCTTCATTAATGTCACCAAGTGCAGTTGTATCTGGCCCGTTATTTTTGACCAGCTCGCTGTAAATTTGAGGTGTACCTACTATTTCATCAGTATAGGCATTATTTTGATCGAAGTGTGCTTGATCAAGTTCTGTTGAATTGTTTGGTGACGAAATGTCTTCAGATATTGTTGGTAGTGACTTATCTTGAGTTGTTGTCGCCGTTGACCCACTCAAAGACTCTGTCTTCCAAACTAAACGGCGCAAGCTTTCCATCATCTCCAGAATCTAAAAAATCCAATTAATCAGACTTAATTGCTTACATTATTTAAAGATCGTAGAATAATTGTACCTGCTCGTCCCCAAGAGAAGAATTGGCACTAATCCCGTCGCATATAGTTGACAATTCGACAGCAACATCGTAAACGATCTGTTGCTTGATCAATTCTGCCAACATTTTTTCACCTTCGTCAAGTACTCGGAAGCCTCCTGCGAGGAACAAGCCTACATCATCGGTCTCGTAGTCTTCACTGACGGGTCCGGTAATAAAAATTCTTTCTAAAAGACTGAAGTGAATATCGATTCCTAAGCCTGCAATAACACCTCTCAAATTTGGTACTGTTTGAACGAATGCCGTGGGACCTTCATTCCAAGCAGCAGCTGAAAAAACGATCTTTCAGGATAAAGAAAAAAACATTTAATACGTTATAAATAAACGACAAATCAAACAATATTCTGGATCGCACAAACATACTCTTTGTTTGGTAGTCGTCAGAGATGGTACAACTGTTATACATCCGCCAGTCTTCTTGTTACGATTCTTTTTAGTTCGGAAAAGAGGCTTTTTCGCCTCATGCCATTGGTAGATTACGAGATGTTGGATGTGAGGACGGAACTTTTTTAAATTTTTGCCAACTTTCGTGGCCTTTTTGGACATCCTGGTTTGCATTTTACGAAAAAGCTTGGCTTTGATTTTCACGTCAATGACCTCATCAATCAATTTCACAGAATCGGCAGCCGGTTTCTCGATATTGACCAAGATATCGGGAATTTCTGTATTATCTTCTGAGACATTATTATCATCATCATCATTTTGTTGGCCTGCAGACATAACTCATTAAAAACTTATTCATGACGATAAACAATAATAACTTGTAACCTACTTGTCTGTTTTAAAGAGTCATCGGGTATTGCCGTCAAATGATTCGTTAAGTTCTGAACGCGCTCAAATGTATACTTTGTCTGCTTCCGTGCCTCAAAAGGCGTCCTTGCAAACTCTTCCAATGCAACTAAACGAGAGTTTCTGTCTGCCTTGGAATAAACTACGTAAAATCTGTCCGGAAGATTTGTACAGACAGCGTAAGATTAACGAAGAGAAAAGACGGAAGAAATGTATTATAATGGAATACAAACTTGTTATCATTTTCGTGCATTGCTTGCAGCCACTAAGTGTTTATATGAGAGTTTTGTTAGCGTCTCTAAAGTAAAATAAAGAGAGCAACAATTTCATTTTTTTCGTAACACGCACCTCACGCTTTATCACAAAACTTAGCGCTGTAACCGTTCGAGCATAATCTCCATATTCAAACTCGTTATCCAATATAATCATTGTCTTGCCAGCAAGATCTTTCATTAATGTAGTAGGTTCGCTCGAAAAAAGGGTTGGTATAGGTCTTGTAAAACTGAAATGTCCCATTTGCGATATATCCCATACAAAGAATCGGAGGCCGAGCTGTTGCTTGAGTAGGTCAGCCCAAGCCACGTATTCATGGCGCGCTCTGATTTAAAGTATTAATACATGTCAGTAATAGCCACTTATCCATGATATTGGATGAACTTCTTGTCAAATTACGAACTAACTAATACTGCTCACGTATTATGATTTGTCACTAGTAATACGTCCGGGTAAAAGCCTGCAGGAAAACCGCGGTAGATCGTAGAAACTCTGACACTAAAGGATTGAATGTGAACAACGTTTGGCAAAGAAGGTGCCGTGATCTGAAGTTGATATACAGTTCAGTGTTGTCATTAATCCAAAATATTCTGCATAATAAAAGAGGCATTCCTGTTTCGCATCCATACCTGTCCAAGTTCCAGATATAACCAAAATTCCGCATATTCAAATATCTCCGCTTCGCTTAACTCTAAAGTAGCCTCCAGTTGTAAAGTCTGACCAGCTCTTAACAAAGGAATTTCAAATATATATTCTCTTTCCAAAGTCTGCACAGGAGGGACGGTGACGACCCCTTGTTGTTCAGTTTTCAAGCCAAATCGCAAGGCAGCAGGCGAAACCTCGCCGGCCTTCTTGTCTAGCCTGACACGAATACGACGTCCGTTTGGAGCGAGGGCGCCAAAATCGACATCAGATGTGTTCTGCACGCCCCATCTAACTTTGGCTGTTTGGCCAACCACCTAAGTTCAAATTTAGACGAATATGAAAACCAAGCAACAATAGTATAGTACAATAGTATAGTATACAAGCCAAAACCCATACCATAGAATTCATGTGTGAAATATGCGTAAACTCGATAGGATATTGAATGTTGATTACACGGCCTTCGAGATCGAAAGCTGGAAATATCTTTCTAAGCCCAGTCATCGTCGCTGTTAGCCGTAACAAGTCAGTTGCTCGAAGGGGTGGTCCTGATATTTAATAAAAGCTTAAGTCTCAATGATGAATCGATTCGATTAAACGAGACAAGCCATGATGCATACCCGGCTGATCCACTTTATGTTTCCTGAGAAAGAATGAAAGCGGTTGTTTACAGTCATATTCTAGTGAAGTCTGTGGAGCAATCAGTTGCGGCAGCGTTGTATAGTCCATCTCCTCCTTGTTAACAATCCATACGTTGTCATTAACATTAACGCAGATATCCCCTATCAGTTGAATTGAAAATGTGAGAAAAGACAACTTCGTATACAGATCCTCCCTGCGAATTAGATACATACGTCTCGGTGTGGGCATTATAGATGTATTGTGAATCGTCAACGTATCTATGTAAATTTGAGCCTCGGGTTCAAAAACTCCCGTAACAGAATGAGCAACGACGTAGTGCAAACGTATATCAAAAATCTCGTCGTATTCTGTGACTTGGTCCGTGATACTGGAAATAAATAATTATTAGAATCACAGAAAACCAAAAATAATAACACTTCCTCCTATAAAGAATGCATGTTAGTACCTGTCTTGAATCAAGAATCGGAATTTACCGCTATCACCTGACCTCCCATCATAAAGAAGATGCGTTGGCCTACGTCCATTACTACCAGAAGGGCCATCAGAACCGCCTAATATTGATAGGAAGCTAATCAATATGACTGAAAAAGCTGAATCAAGGCCGCCTTACAACACTTACCCGGTTTGTGGTGATTAACAAATCGAGGGACAGTCTCTCCTTCCCAGTTGCGAACATATATCTGTTCTGTCCATGAGTAACTACTTCCACCTTTGCCACCCGGTCCTCCTCTACCTGTAGATGTTATACCCAGCCTTAGAAACACCGTAGATTAACGAGCTAAGCATATATACCCGTACCTGGTGTCCCATGCCGACCAGCCTTGCCTGCATTAAGATAATTGGTGAGCAACTTGCTACATCGATGAGCAGATCAAGCATATAAAGAGATTGTATTTACCGCCTGCACCTCCATCGACATCTAAAGAATAGGAAACACTTGGAGTCCAACTTTGTACAAACATCATTAACAATCCGGCATCAGTATCACTCACGCGCAAGGTAATGCTGCCGCCTTCTCCACCATCGGCACCGCTGAAAGATGCAGATTTTTTTAAAAAAAATTCACAACAGTAGCAGCAAGAAAAGATGTTGTTAATGAAATAAAGATACCCACCTGGTTCCTGCGCCTGTAAATTTATTATTATCACGATGATATCAGCAACTTGACAGATGTTTTTTTTAGTCGACTGATGTTCTTACCTGCATCGCCCCCATCACCTCCTCTTCCTCCGTCACCTCCAGAAGAATACCTTTATCATTGATATTGAATTAAGCAATGTTTCCAATATCGACACTTAACCAGATTACACGTGCTAAAATTAAATCATACTTGGTCGCGTTTTTTCCATTTTTGCCAGCAGCGCCATCCCCTGGTAATGTAGAAACAAAAAGGTTTTGGTTTATGCTTGTACTCGAATGTAGGCTTGATTCAAAAATAATTACCTCCGTTTCCTCCGCTACCACCGTTTCCACCATTTCCTCCGCGAGCTAATACCGTTAAAGCGAAGCAGAAATTTAGACGATCACACCCAGAGTTCGGGAAGAATTTTAATTCGTCTACATATGAAATTTAATTTCCGTGATGCAAACTTATTCGTACCTTCCAAAATAAACAAATCATCTGTAGCACAAATATACGTTTGTTCAAAATTGTCAACATGATAACCTGGCCTACAAAAGTGACCTGACATTTCAACCGAGGCACCGTTTATATCGTCTCTATTCGTGATGTTATATAAAATTAAGCCAAATCAATCACGGAAAAGATAACATATCTAATACAAATAAGCTATCAAACCTTTCGACGAGAGATAGATCGATTTCTGTTAAAAGATAGGAATTAGTATTGATTGTCGTATTATCAACAACATTCTAATTGAAAGGGATAATGAAATACCTCCGCCATCAATTCCAGAGGTTGGATCTGTGGCATTCTCTCCATTTCTTCCGTTCCGTCCTCCACCAGAGAATGCTCCACTGCGTCCGTCCCGTCCATTATTGCCATCAGGCCCAGTCACTGACAGTATTAATGTCATTTATATAAAGCAATCAAATGTAAGATGGGTTATGAGGGTAATGATATCTAAAGAAGGTAAAACGACGTTTATGGAAGAAGAATTGCGAGATAAGGAATGAATGGAAATGGATGAATGAAGAATGAATGAAATATTGTAGAGAATGAATGAAATATTGTAAAGAATGTAAATCAGTTTTTTCGATGTCATTTTACAATGGGGAGTTATTTATTTAATTTTGTAATTTCCTTTATTTGTGTAAAAAACAAATGTGAGATTTTGGATTGGATGCAAACAGTATGCAATGCCCTTCCTAATAGAAAGATTGCCAAATCTCAAAATGACGTGATTGGTACGTCGGATTCCTTGTCCGTATCCTACAATTCCTTTGCAAGCCGAACATGGCATCGGTAGGGTTCTACACCACAGCCGTATTGTCAATGAAATCAGTAAGTTTGACGTTAGCTAATATCAAACGTCATTATTATCAATTATTGAATTGGACGCGATTTGTAGAACTGCGACTCTGATACCTAACACTAAGGACTTCACTTGTAGTAATCCCTGTCCTGTATATGCATTGTCTTTAAACCGAGTCTCATGAAATGTCAAAAAAACAAACAAACACAACTATCTTATCCAATTGCAAATTTACCAAAGAAAAGCGTGGGTGACATTAACTCCCTGTTGAGACGGTTATTACAATTAAACGCAATGTTGGTGCGTACACATGGTTTTCGTGACGGCTTATATATAGATTTATATATAGATTCAATACTTACCAATTGGAAAATACTTTAACTGTAACGGGCACTACCAAGCAATTGCCCCCACTAACCAGTTGTGACGAATTGAGTTACATGCGTGTGTGCAAATTTTTGTGTTCATGGTTCAGGTCATGACTGAGTCTAACAATGAATGGCATCGTGTAAGCATTTCTTGCCCCGAGGGATTTTGAAGATTTGGGACCAGTATCTATGTGGTGATGCTTGTAGTGGCGGGAGTCTTACCGGCAGATTCCTTCAGTAAGCGTATGGGGCGTCATTGCAAGTCTGCCAGCTGTTGGCAGCCTTTCCTAACCTACCCATTACTCCTATCAGGCCTCCACTTTTTCATAAACGTAATCAACAAAAGCTCTTTATGTAGACTTTCAGGTTATCTCGGGGGGGCACTCACGGAAGTTTCTTTGTACGCATAAGTTTATGTAAGTTAACTCTCGCTATTATGTTATTTATTATAACAATGCATAATAATAAAGAAGCTTAACATATAAGAGTAAGCACGTGCGATTGTCTGCTTAACGGCGATCTCTTTTTCCAACCGTACTCTTGTTACTATATAGATGCTTAGGCTTCTTCATTAATATCTTTCTATCGGATTCGCCTGCTCTAGCATAAAGATTAGCTTGTCTTTGGGCTGTCTTGTGAATCTTTTCACTTCGTTTCTTCATCTAGAAGCGTACAGCGTAATCCATAAGTCGTCAAAAACGATAATATATATACCAGATAAAGAACAACAAAGACGTCAACTCACCTTTGCAATCTTTCTATCTTCTATATTGACGGGCGTTACACTTCTGGCGCGTGACTCTTCCCGTACTATAGCGTCCCCTACTGACTCGTCGAATTTACGCTTCCTTGATCTTGTCTGACTGCGTGTCCTGATTGCACTTGCATCAATACCAAATTCTCCAAGTTTCCTCTCTATCTCTTCCAAAGACTATCAAAGTAGTAAATGCAAAGTAGCCAATGAATAGATATCGTATAACACCTATTAGGATAGGAAAGTCAGTAATAATTTCGTAAGATACTCACCTTTGTTGTGGCTGTTCTCGGCATTACAGGCCGATTTTTCATCATTTTGTTCGTTCTATGAGCTTGTACAATTAACTTCTTCTTTTCGCGAGCCTCGTCAGCCGCTCTTTTAAATTCTTCCTCTTCAGAATCCATCTATTCAATTAATGTATTAGTAAATAATTATCACATTAACGCTAATCTAGGTCGCTTTACTAACAATTTCCTCATCCGATTCATAAAATCCTTCAGCTTCTAATTTGTCTTCTTCTCGCTCTAAGGCTTCCAATTTCTCCGCTATGTCAGGGTCAATGAAATCTGCAACGTTTTTGCCGTCCATAATCTCGGGAATGGCATCGTATTTCCATTCATCGTTTTGAAGTATGTATAATTCTAATCAAGAAAAGTCAAATAGTTTGGTAACTAACGTTAATCGTACTCCATATACAAGAGTCGTGATACCATGAAACTTACTCTGGTGATCAACATTATATACCCCTGGTCCACCATTCTCTTCTTCAATATCTCTCTCAAGTTTGCGTCTCTTAGGATCCGTCTTATCATAAGGTTGTCGTCCGATTGCTGCTTCTGGTATGAATGGAAGACGAGGTATATCATCACGTGGCTGTGGTTCAGATAAATGTATTCTGTTGATCACATCGTTAATTTTCTGACTCTTCATTTTCACTTCAACTCGTGCGGCAAGCAACTTATCACATGCCTATAAAGAGACAATACGAGAAATGTTATTATAACATCAGCCTGACATATACATCGTTTATCAGTGGACGCCGTACCGTGTTTTTAACGTCTATGACCCCTTCATCAGTTTGACAGCTCAATTGAAGTATCTGAACATTCTCCTTCTCGCTAATCTCACGTAGTTTAACTTGTTCCTCTTCGGACAAATCCTCTGAACGAGCAATGTCGATTTTGTTAATTACAATAAAGGTGGGTTTATTTGCAAAAAGAGGTTTAATGTTATGATACAATTGGATCTAATAATTATGCACGCAAAGTTGATGTTAGTATAAATGTTACATAGTTTACAATCATAAACATCTTCGTGTCATCTCTTAAATGTTATTAACAGAATCCTTCTTACTTGGTCAGCAACACTGTACCCACACTGCCCAGACAAATCCATGAAATACAGAACACAAGTTCTTAGATGAGCCAGTGCAGTAACTGACTGCATCTCGATTGTATTCATCTGTTCTAATGGCCGATCTAGGATACCTGGTGTATCTATCACCTGCCACCTTAGATACTTATAGTCCATATGTCCAACAAACAAAGACTTGGTGGTGAATGCATAAGGTTGCACGTCGACATTGGCCCTCGTGATTTTGTTCATAAAGCTGGATTTCCCGACATTGGGATAACCACAGATGAGGAGAGTACGAGTATTTGGGTCGATTGAAGGAAGGCGAGCAAGATGTTGGCGAACTTCCTCAAGATAACCCAAACTGTTCTTCTGTCGTTTCATTATTGTAGCCATTCTAATGGACAAAGCAAGTTAATTAATAAACATCAATCATGTCTACATGTAAACATAATTTTATTAATTCATTATATCGATTAACGGGATAGGCAACATCTACTATATAGGGATTATATATTTGGCTACGAACCTTCCCAACGCCGACCTCTTCAACTGCTTACATCTATACAAGGAATCGCCAAACTTCAACAGCCTTACATATTCCTTTGCAACTTCCTCAATCAAACTTCTCGCTTTATTTATTTGTGACAACGCCAGTTTGTAATGATCCTTATCATATAATACGTTCATTAAATCTGCATAAAACGGGTGTATATCCTAATGTATGCATTATAAACATTAGACGATTTTTGCCAGATGTATCAAAGGCTTTTCCATTAATTGTATCAAGTTAGTAAAACAGATACAAACGTCAATTTTAGGGAATTCTTCTAGCATCGCTTTTAATTTGTCTTCAAAACTATCCTGAGTGAATTTCACTTTGCGCATGTAGAACTGACGTATACGACCTATCTTGTATTGCTTGTGAATGACTGTTGGTGTCTTTCGTTGAGTTTTTGATAAGACAATGTCCAAGAAATCTGAAGCCGAAGGCACCGGCTGTATTTTTTTAAAATTATATAACGCCATTTTAAATATGCTATTGTTTGAAACCAGCAACTTTCTATTACTGTTCTAGAGAATTGGGACAACGAATGCAAGGTTTTGTTTTTCTACGAAAAAAAAATTTTTTTTAACGAATGATAATCAAATATGGATACAGTGATCCAATCTTAAAAATTTCCCAAAACAAGCCCCTTGGCGGATTCGAACCACCGATCTTCGCTTTACGAGAGCGACGCCTTACCACTGGGCCAAAGAGGCTTATGATTGTAAAGTTTTTCGCATTTAAATATTTAGAGTAATCTCATGCGGAATTATTACAATTCCCGTTCTTCTTGGTTAGTATTAGTCCACAAATTGGTTTGAAGACTGTTTACGTGCTAGAGACTCTCAATTGTATGTTGTATCGATAAAAATCGATGAATCCTACGTTAGACTGAGAAAGATTCTAAGCACCGTTACAATTGATAGTCTGATAGAAGTTTTCCACACATTCGCGTATTCCTTCATAAAAAGCAGATTAAGTACTTATACTATTTATATTAATTACCATAACGAATCTCGGGGGATATAATATCAACACGTAAACAACTGGAAGCGTCTTTACCAAAAGAACGTGTTGAAGAATGCATGACAGACTTCTTAATATGTCGTTTATCTTAAATAATCTTCCAAAAGGCAATTCACAATATTCGATGGATAGTAGTATAGTAGTAGATCTCAAGAGTCTCTTTGACAAATGCTCCACCCGGGAAATATAACATGCAGTTGAAGTTATCGCTAACGGAAGCCCGCTTAGACAAAGAACTAGTGCTGTGAACGTAAAGTAGTTGGGTAATCGGGAAGTTTCCAACTTATGATGCATCCGTAGGTGCAATTATTTTAATAATTTACATTTATTGCTCGTTCAATTACCTTTTCCTTTCAGCTGAATTTTTGAGATGCCTTTCTTGTTTAAATGATAAACACAGTTGTGTGACTACATACAACGTTCGATAAAAAACAAAGTCTATAACCCACCTCCCCATTACCACACAAATACAATCTCACTTCACAAAAGATGTCTACCAGCTGACGGCCATATCAGTAGCACATTGTTAACAGTGCCTCGTGAATCTGTGAATCTCATTTCCACTTTACGTACTCTTGGGAGAAGTACATCGCTTCTAGAGAAACGAATGAAACTAAAGATTCTATGAAATAAAATAGTGATATTAACAGCGGCACCTCATGCAAATCTATAAACTATAGTCACATAAAAAGCGTCCAGCTCTGCGGGTTCCACTCTTACAAAAATCACTTTTGTAGTAAATAGCTAATTACATAAGTACATTTTCCCTCCTCCAATAAACTGTGTACAACAAATCACTTCCTCATCACCTTTGTGAACGATCACCTACTACATTCAATGTCATTTCATCTGTTGTTTACAGTTACATCCCAATTGTAGCTCAGAAGTATTGACTGGTGCGCGGATTCTGTCCAGAATATGATCTTCTCCCTCCAAACTGTGCTCCAAATTGTGGTGGAAAACCTCTAGAACTAGAAAATCCTCCCCTTCCCATTTGATCATTCATAAACATCTGGAAGAGCATGCTGGGGTCTCCTCCAATGTCAAAGTCAAAGTCCATCCCACCTGATCCGTCAATATCGAGTCCAGAGTCGTAACGGTGCTTCTTGGTAGGATCGCTTAGTACAGTGTATGCTTCACCAACTTCTTTGAATTTGATTTCTGCTTCCTCATCGCCGCAGTTCTTGTCTGGATGATGTTGTAGTGCTAGCTTTTTGTAAGCTTTTTTTATATCTGACTCGGACGCATCCTTGGATACACCAAGAATTTTATAGTAGTCTTTACGTTTCGACCTCTTAAGCTCTTGTTCGGCTTTACGTAGGTCTGATTTTATCTGGGTGTTATCTCTTTCCAATTCTGATGCAGATTTGAGATCGCGTACCGCCTCTTCATACTTCTCGGTTTTCATGCAACAATCCGCCCGGCGTCTTAATGCTCTTACGAACGATGGATCACCCTCGATTGCTTTGTCCAGATCTAAAATTGCTTCTTGGAGCCTGTTTAACTTCATTAGTGCTAGAGCTCGATTACTGTATAGCTTTGAGTTGGCGAGGAGGTTATCTGGATCAATCTCCAAGGCTGACGTGTATATGTTGTATGCTGTTGCGTAATCACACTTTTTTACAGCTTCGTTGCCGCTATTTTTCTGCTGCTCAACTAACCGAACTTTCTATTGATTTAATAAAGCATTTTAGTCGTAGGTGAAACGATACCAGTTGCACAATGATAATGGTAACACGGACGACGTTATTATTCAAACTTTACCTTGCGAAGTAGGCGCGCCGTCGAGTGATCTGGGTCGCAGCGTAATGCCTCCGCGCAATGGGCGCTTGCCTTTGTATAGTCACCATCGACATATAAAACGTACGCTCTTAGCGCAAGAGCGTCCGAATTCCGACGGTCAGACCGTAGTACCTCGCTGAAAGGATGCGAAAATGTAACAAATATGTTAACATAAAAAGAAATTTGAATCTGATAGATTACTAATGTAAGTGTGTAAGTGCCAATCGTCAAACATACTTTACTATTGCTTCAACTTCTGCAATGTTCTTTCTCATCTCTTCGACCGTGCAGGCATTTGGAACTTCATTCAAAGCTAGAAATGATTCTGCCTTCATTATCTTCAATTTGACCGGCGATAATTCAAATGAAGAAGCAGCTCTATCAATAGAATTGATGGCCAATTTGTATTGTTGATTCTGTCGATACACATTGGCTTGTTCAATGTAATACTTGACTAGCTCTAACTGTTTATGGTCAGTGAGCAATTGAGCGTTTGTTGGATCAATGTTCAACGCCATTGCATACATATGCTGTGCTTCGGATAAATTGCCAAGAAGGAAGTTGCATTTTCCCGCGCGCATTAAAGCCTTTAATAAATTTGGATCCAATGCTAACGCTTGTTTGCAATCTGTAAGAGCTTGTTCGGTTTGCTTCAGCATCATTCGAGCTGCTGCTCTATTGGAGTAGTATGTTGGGTTATTAGGATCCATTTCTGCAAAGATTAAGATTTAAATTCGGTCGGTTGACAAGTAAGAAATAAACGATATGAGGTTATTATCATAGGCAAAGAGATTTTGCTGAGATGTATTCTTTGGTTAATTTGATATTGTTTAAATAACAATCAATATCAAATGTATCTTACCAATCGCCTGCGTATATAAACGCACGGCTTCCTCGTAATGTCCAGCTTTGTATTCGTCATTGGCTGCGTTCTTAACAGATTCTGCTGTACTGTTTTTATTAAACAACGATATGATTAATAAAATCTGCTTAACGTTTTATCAGTGGTGAGGGATTGATGAAGGGTTATTTTGATCCAGACCGCTTGAAGCATACAGTTTAAATCGAAGGAACATGATATACCGAGTAAACTAAACTCCCAATTTAACTGGATTTGATTGGTATGAAATAAATGGTCAAGTGTTTGTGTCTTCATCATTCGTAATATTCGTCATGAGTTTTTCCAAAATACGAGGATTAATTCGTCACATGAACAGCCAGCATACTTTTTATCTTATCTGTTATGAAGTACTTGTATGTATACTTATCATACACACAGGTATAGCTATCTACATATCCATCTTGTCAACCATTATCTACCATTATCTACCCACTTCGTACATCCCACACTCAACGCCCTCTCTAACTTATGCATATAAAAGAATAAATCTGCTCACTTTGTGTCTATTTCCATCGGATTGATATGAGCAGTGGCGGTTCACAGCAAGTTGGTTGAAGATATATGGTGTATGTATATAATATTGACGGGGCGAGTAAGTTTTTATCTGTACGTTTTTTATTGTAGGGGCATTATTCGAGTGATATTGTTCACAGCATACGCATGGCTGAAATGGAACTTACCAGAACCTTTAGTCAATTGTTCACGACTATTGGATGACGAGGGGTTTGTGTCATTCAAAATAGAATCTGATGGACTAAAGCTCTCTGATTGTGCAACACACTGTAGGAAAAACCCAATAACGTTTAACTTCTCCCTTTTTCATATAGTACATGCGTTTAGACAAGAGTGGTAAGTACATTTTGGCCCCATTAGTAGATAATAAATCAACTTCCCGCTATCTGAAACGAATGTAACGGTTTGATGTGCCAAGAAGCGATGATGAGCATCGTCATAGTCATAATAAACAAATATTAATCGGGTCTTTTCCAGAGTATTTAGAAATCCGTATATTAGTAATTTTAATTAATTAATTAATCAGGGTCTCTCAATTTCAACCCCCCGAAACACTAGTGATCATCGTTTTAATACCATTTCTCGACCAACTTAAATTGGAGTATTGCGCGTCAACTCGCGCGAGAAACGCAAGACGTAACACAAAGTTGATCCTTATAAGCATATTAATTTGATCTATCGCTATATCTTCTATTGTTCTATAAACAAATCTCCAACTGGGCATTTGCTTGTAATTTTGTAGCATCCAAAATATGCGATAGGGAGCATCAGTAGAGACACGTGTCGTTACGGCTGCATTATTATTACGTTGACGTGTGTGACTACACACAACTGTATCACGCACTCATCTCATCTAATTGAAGGCGTCCCACTGATTTCTCACTTGTATGTTGGATACGAATAAAATGGGGAAATTAGCATTGCTTTTGATTACTTTGAACTTATTAACAGCCTTAGCAGTGCCTTCTCTCTTCAATGACGAGGAAATCATTCTTGCACCTCTGCTCTCTTCTGCTGATGCAGAAGTAATTCCTGACCAATATATTGTGGTATTCAAGAATGACGTAACCGCGGATAGAATATCTTATCATCACGGCTGTGTCGGTGATATGCTGTCCGAGGAGAGAAAGAAGGTTAAACGAGGATTCATGGCCGAATTGATATCTGGGATTGAACATACTTACAACTCTGACATGTTTAAAGGATACTCTGGTAGATTCTCGGAATATATATTGAATAAGATTAGACAAAGTGATGAGGTATGTATTAACTGGTTAATTTTAATATTAATATATTCCATCGATGATCTTAACTATAAATACAAGAATGTTAAAACAATTAAACCATTCTATTACACCCATCTCGCCCATTATTACTTCTCCCATCTCTTTCCGTGTCATCCACATAATCTACATTCAGGTTGCTTATGTCGAGAAAGATTCTAAAGTTTATTCGGAAATAGTCCAATATAATGCACCTTGGGGCCTAGCCCGTATATCCCATCGTCAACCGTTAGGTTTCATCACATTTACGAAATACTTATACGATGCAACAGCCGGCTCGGATGTCACTGTCTACATCGTCGACACCGGAATCAACATCGACCATGTCGATTTCGGCTCTCGTGCTCGATGGGGTCACACTGTCCCAGACAATGACGAAGATGTCGACAATAATGGGCATGGAACTCACGTTGCCGGTACTGCTGTTGGAACTCGATTCGGTGTTGCTAAAAAGGCTAACGTCGTTGCTGTCAAAGTTTTGAATTCGGAAGGAAGAGGTTCAACGAGTGATGTGATCAAGGGAGTGGAATATGTTGTGAAATCTCACGCGGACGAAATGGGTCGTGCAAGGAAAGATGGAAGACCGTTTAAGGGATCAGTTGCAAATTTGAGTTTGGGAGGGTCCAAAAGTATAAGTTTGGATGCAGCTATCAATGCTGTAAGTGTTATAAATCATTGTACGCGCAAATGGAAAGAACTTACATCCTAATTTCAGAATTGCGCCAACATACTATTATCAGGCTGTCACTCTTGGAGTTCATTTTGTCGTAGCCGCAGGTAATAGTAACGGTGACGCTTGTGATGAGTCACCAGCTGCTGCTGAGAAAGCAATCACTGTTGGGGCCTCAACCTTTGACGATATGCGTGCGCCGTTTTCCAATTATGGCCCGTGTGTCGATATTTTCGCTCCGGTACGAACGACTCTACTCATTTACTACGCATTCTTTAATATGTCCCATTAGCGATATGGATTGCGTTCGACTTGTGACGTTTACTAGTATTTCGTTATTTTCTTTAATCTATCTATGTGCGGCACATCATAATCTTCTATCGGTCCAAAATATAGGGCAAAGACATCTTATCAGCTTGGATAGGTTCCTATACTTCCGCGAGGGTACTTTCCGGTACCTCCATGGCAGCTCCCCATGTTACAGGCCTTGTAGCTTACTTCCTCGGCTTGGAGGCTGAGTCTACTTCAGACTTTGCCGTTACTCGACTGACTCCCAAGAAGATGCGTGATATGATTGTTTCTCTCGCTACGCGCGAAATTCTGGAGGACGTCCCGGCGGACACTCCCAACCTCTTGGCGTTTAATAATTTTGATCCTACCTCTTAAATAAGTAAGAAGCCCTTTTTATCATGAGAGTTAGACAATTAGTCAGTATTTATTACTAATTTGCCCATTCAAGAATAGTATACATACGTGAACAGATGCTCTTCTAAACCGTATTTGTTAAAAGGCCCTTTGTAACCAGGTTTCTTCACTGTGACGGATATCTTTTAAGTTGGCGCATAACCATATTGTGTCTACGCTGTTCCTAGTTCGATATGAAGCGAATCATTTTTGTATTTCGAGTTAGACGCTTTGTAATATTTATAAACCAGCTAAATTATGTGAACAAAATTATGTCTTTAGGGTATAAAAAGGAGATAGTCTCTTTGCCACTAACGCGCAATCCTTTTGAACGATAAATTGAGCTCCAAGCACACCTCGACTTGATCTAGAAGAGGTCGTCTGATATTACAACTCATTTATTTCATCGAATTTATGATTTGGGGCTTTTAAGCTGCTTCATTCGTTTATACCTTTGGCGGTCGTTACCGAGTTTTCGAGGTCTTTATTCAGGCGCACATGGGTGACCCATTTAAAATTACTGATATTTCTAAATTAAAACTACTATTTAGCTTTAAAAATAAGTTTTTATTGGTACTTGTTTAAAAACTTCACACCCGAGCGATAATTAGCAACTGACGCAATTCTGTCTCCCATTTCGTTTATCATCACACGCCTACACTCTCCACCTATATCCGTCATTCTTCTCATCCCATTCTTCTTCGCGCTCAACTTCACCTTCTCCCACTCCATCGGCAACAAAGTCAACGGTTTTTTGTCACTCACTCTCGCGACTAGAGCTTCAACATACGGGATAGGGATACAGTTTGTTAAGCCAATTTGATAAAAACGCGTTTATATTTGTAAACAATTTTAATTTTTGATGCGTAAAAATGCAAATAAACATAACATTTGGACATAAAATAAAATGCTGTATATCGCGACAAAAAAAAAATCTTACACATGCAAACCTTAGCCACATAATGGCTAGTTCGAAACAAGAACAACAACGGCAAACGAGGGAGTGCACAATGGTGTTGAAATACATGCATGCACACGCATTCCCCTTTCCATAATCCATGACAATGTTAATAACTACCCAAGAAGAAGCAGTCGGTCAATTTATTCGCCCGGATACTACAATTTCAACACCATTTTTGGCGAACAAATTGTCAGAAAAGGGAGTCGAAGTTTCCCATGTGACAGTCGCAAAGCATTTGAATGACATTAGATACCAAAAAAGTCTCTCTATAGCAATACCAACAGCCGATGTGTAGTTTGATGACGTATCTTCCTGATTTCTGTTGGTATTTCAGGTCGGAGTGTGTAGCACCAAGAAGGATCTGCGATGTGGTACAGCCGACAGGATACAGTGAAACCTCTTTATACCGTCCCCCGGTTATACCGGTTTTTGCTATAATAATAACGGCCAAAATTTTCAGGAACGGATTTTCACATATGAATTTCCCCTTTATATACCGGCCATCATTAATTAAATT